ACAGAGACCAGCAAATAAATAGTTGTGAATGCAGCTAGAGAAACATAACAAAGAACATAAAGGGCAACTGCTGCACTGATTCGATGGGGGCAAGAGGGCGAGAGGGCGAGAGGGCGGGTGTGCGAGGGCGTGGCTGGGGGTGGCTTGTATACCGAAGGGTGTATTAGTTTGTGTAGTTCCGAGAACTTGTGGGCTTTGTAAAGGAAACTTCCTCGTACAGAAGATATACAAACTGACAGATGGACAGACAGAGATAGAGAGAGATAAAGAGAGAGACAGAGAGAGTGAGAGCCAGCTAGTCTTTGAGTTGACATAAAGCTGCTTTGCAAATGCAATTACCTGCAGCATGCAGCAGTTGCAAGTTCAAGTTGAGAATGCCTTGAGGATGCCCCGAGCACCGTTATTGGATTACCGAGCGCTCTAATGGCATTTTCTCACATCTCCCTGTCGAAGGCTCAAAAGCTGCTAAGCAGATAATTTCGACGCGCTGCGAATATCATTTGGAATTCTCTCTGGCTGCGCTTTAGTTTTAATTTTTTTGAAATGACGACAACTGCATCAGCGTCGATAATGATAATCAGGAGGATGATGATAATGACGATATGACAAAAAAGAAAAAACAACAACGGTATTCAAATAATATGCAAAATGAACAAAAATGAAAACAAAAAGAAAATATTTTATGACATTGCTGACAATTTATGATGCAAATGCCACGTTAAAAAGAGAGGGAGAGGAGGGAGCGAGCGGGAGGGGAGCTGAGTTGAAGGATACGGGCAGAATTTTTGGGTGCAGCGACGACAAATTGTCGAGAAATTGCATAAAAATACACATCAAAATAAATTGTTATGCTGAAATCTGTAATCTGAAGTAGTTGCGGATGCACTCGAAAGATATTTACGAGCGCAGGCCAAAGGGAGAGAGTCGAAGAGAGAACGAGAGAGAGAGAGAGGTTGCAGTGTAGTGCAGTGCAAAGGGCAACAGTCCATAAAAGGCAAAAAACTCGGAATTGTTTTTCTGTTGATTCATCAGAAAATAAATTGAAATATTCTTGTTGACATTGCACCAGAAAAAAAAAAAAAACAAAAACATAAAAAAACAGAAAACCAAAATTCAGTACAAGAAAACAATACAACAAAGAGCTTGTTCTGCGCTCTGCATATCATGGAGTCGGTTAAGCTGTGTGTGTTTGCCCTGTTGATTTATTTAATTCACTAAAACTGGCTGCATAAAATATTTGATAATAAAATCACGTTCATACGCCTACGGCCACAAATCAATTGAAACACGCATCAACCGATCGACCAACCGAACCAGAACTAAAACCGACCAAACACACAAAAAAATACTTCCCCAACCGACCTATTGACCGAACCAACCAAATCAACAAAATCAAGCAGCCAGTTCATTAAAACTTTTATGCATATGTTTGTCAAAAAATGAGTCCCATTTTCGTGGAACGGAGCAACCGCAGCAGCAGCAGCAGCCGTGGCAGCAGCAGGAGAATTCCCCAAACTCCAGCAACTTCAATTCGCTGTGACGTTTCGGTTAGCTTCCCTTTCTCTATTTGGGGATTTCAGCCTTTGGGCTAAACTGAAATCCAGCCGGAACCCCAATAAAAAAAACCTCTGTGTGCGGTCGTCAAACAGAAAAAAAAAACACATCAGGCGTAAAACAGAAATACGTTAGATTCCGAATGTTAGTTAGTTAAAAAGCATTTATTTATGAACATTTCAATATAAATACCCCGAATGCTGGCAATTTCAGCAACATTTACCACATTTGATATATGCACGCAATAAATTTTGGTGGCTAACCGCCATGAGAGCCACATATAGAAACGTTAGCAACAACAACAACAACAAAACGACATTATTAGAAACCAAAATGCGAACATTTAAAGCCTGAAGCCGGCGCATCGAATGGTCTATGACTAATGGGAGTGTGATTCAGCAAGCTGTGGGAACGGGAAGACCAAAGGTAAATAGGGTTCAACCCAAAAGAAGCTGGGGAAATATTTTCGAATGCCAACTCGTAGTTAGTTATGAATTTCAATTGAAATTTACTTAAGGTATGCAAAAGAAATTTGAAAATGATCTAAAGAAAAATTTCATATTGCCAAATCGTAATCAATTGACAGTTTTTTTTTTTTAATTTACTTAAGGAATGCCAAAGAATTTACAAAATAATCTGAAGAAATATTCAATAATATTTAATAAGAGTACAATATTAGGAAATGCCAAATCGTAGTCAATTGACTTAAGATATACAATAAAATATTTAGAAAAGCTGAAGGAATATTTTATAATTCCAAAATTATAATTAATTAGTAATGAATTTAATTTTCTAATTGAGTTCACTGTAGCTCAAACCATTTGGTGAATTTGATGATTGAATAGTTGAACACACAAACAAATAATTAAAATAACTTAAATAAACAAATGCTACGAACCATATTTTCTTTTTTGTACAATCAATAAAACTTTACTCTAATCATCAATATTTTGCACACCCCACTTGTCAATATATATGTATACACATAAACATACATATATGTATATATACATATATATTTGATGAATAGGTTCTACTCTGTAATATCCAAACTCACTTGCGATTTTGGTTCTTATGCTTCTATTTCCTGATTCTAATGATAGATGTTTCATAATAATAACATATATACTAATTATAAATACAATTGAATATATTATTTCGCCTACGAATCCATCATTATATCCATAGCGAAAATTCTCAAGGGCATTCAAATTGTCAAACTAGGTAATATACCGAGCCATCACCTATTTATTCATCCTGTTTATGATATAATGTATAATACTTATAATTCTATCACAGTTTATATTTTATATGTATATGCACTTATATCGCAACGAATTCCCATCGATTTCAGTACATATACACAACATATACATATATGTTGAATATTATAATTAGTTTTATTCATTTTTGTTTTTGTTTCTTTTTTCCTTGTTCACATTTTCATGCTGAGCACTTTATTATGAATTTTTATGGCGTCCTCTCATATTATTATTATTTTTGTTGTTTTTGTTCGAAATTAATTTATCGCCTTCCAATAATAGCGCACCGAAATCGAAATCGAAGCGAACGATCGAAAAAAAAAGAAAAACAAATATATTTACACACATATAAATACATAGACATACATACACATATAAACGCTTTTCGGCCTCGGAGGCTTCGTCATCGTCAATGTCTGCAGAAGCGTTGCCTGCATTTAAATGGACAAATTAATTGCGTTTGTCATGTGGCCGGGCCTGGCTCTTGCTCTGGCTCTGGCTTTGGTTCTGGTTCTGGCCTGAGTTGTCGAGTTCATGAGACCTAAATCAAAAAAAAAAAAAAAAAAAAAAGGGGAAAAAAAAACATGGAAAAATGCGATTTAATTGGTTTTGGGACAGCGTTGAAATGTGTTTAATTTAGCATTAATGAATATACACATCATCGGGCCGGGTACTTGGGGAATTGGCGTTGAATTATTGGAGAGTTTGAGATCGTTATAAATCTTCTTATCGCTGTGATCGGCGTCTGATCATCAAATGTCCATTAAACAGTTGCAAGCACAGCCATTATCCATTAACCATTATCCTTGTCTATCTGCACTGAGCCCCTCGAAACCCTCTACCTCTTTTTTGTTCTTTTTCTTCTCTTCCATTTGGAACCCCCAGAACGCGCTGAAGGGGATCCCGATTCTCTGGACATTATTTATTACACAGTTTGAGTTTTTCGATCGAATGCCCTTTTTGATACACGACAAAGCTGCTGCTGAGGGTTCACTGTGTCGTCCATGTGTAGGAGTATCGATCGTGATCCCTTCGATCCCTGCTCCCTTCGCCGCCTTCGCCGTCAGCCTCGTGTCGGTTGACATTTTGATTGTGTCGCCTCTTGTGTATTAATTGAGCATCGCGTTTCTCATCTTCTTGCTGTACCTCCACCAATGAAGTCGTTTCCCTGGAATGCTGAAAGCCCCCCTCCCCTCATGGACCACACATGGCGCACAGTGGGACGCGAGCAGCTTCATCGAGTTCGAGTGGAAACAAAAAAGAAATGTTTCTCTATTGGCGCAGCCTGCGGGCCACATTGCCAATTAATTGGAATTAATTAGCGATATTAAGAGGCACTATTATCATAATTATGAAGATGGTTCGCATGAAATTATTGAGTTGACACCCACAGCTAAATTTTTGTCCGTCCGCCAGGCAGAAGACAGTGCATGATAAATCACTTAATTGCGGCTTTCAACCAAACTCCGCGAGACATTCAAATTAGCATTTCAACAAATATTTAATAATGGAATAATTGCGCTGTCTGATTGGAATGTCCCCGGCATCTACAGTGAGTGATATCAATATTCGTTGTATTTATTTGTAAACCTTAAAGATAAATAAAACAGAAAATACAAATTTAAGTTAAAAATATGTCGTATACTAAATTCTAGATTGAAATACAACCTTTTCAGTGGACTATATATAAAAAGAATATATGTATTTAATATAACTGACAGCAGTTATATGTAATCGAAAAAAACGTCGTTTAGCCTTACTTTAATATCCTATTTTCTTATAAGAACTGACAGAATTCTAGCTTCATTGATAAATGGCTCAAAATTTGATATGGTATCCATTGAGCATTTCACTTGACTTCACTTTTCATACAAATTAATTGCCAACGTACATACATCGGATTATGCTTGAGTAGAGTCTCCTGCATAACAGAACCCTTTTGTGTACAGAAATTGGATTTGAGTCTTAGGAAATAGACAAATTTTGACAAGAAACTTGACAAAGGCTTGTAGAGAATTATATCGTGAGCGCGTGAACAGTTTAAGTGCAACTCTCGCAGTTGCCTAGCTTGATTTTGTCATTTTTATCATAGTCACCTTTGCGCCCCTGTGCTGTCAGACGAAAAAGTCCCAGATCCACATTTATTGACGTGCATCCGAGAAATCAAATTCAGCAAATTCTACAATGGGTCGTGGACGCCGCGAGACGCATCAGTCGCGCAGTCGCCATCGTCGTTCGCGTTCGCGTTCGCGCTCGCGCTCGCGCTCGCCGTCGAAGCACCGGCCGACGCGCTCCAGCTCCATCACGAGCCAAGCGGTGCAGGTGAAGCGCCGCAAGGAGCGCTTCAGCTCCTCGTGGGACATTCCGCCGCTGGGCTACGAGCATCTGACGCCAGTGCGGTACAAGGCCATGCAGGCGAGTGGCCAGATCGCATCGCGCATCGTGCCGGACGCCCCGCCCACCGGGGAGTCGGCGGCGATTGCGACGGTGACGCGGCAGGCGCGCCGCCTCTACGTGGGCAACATCCCGTTCAGCACCACCGACGAGGACATGATGGCCTTCTTCAACGAGCAGATCAATCGCCTGAACGGCACCAACGGCGTCGACGGCAATGCCGTGCTCACGTGCCAAACGAATCTGGACAAGAACTTCGCGTTCCTCGAGTTCCGCTCGATGGACGAGGCCACCCAGGCGATCAGCTTCGACGGCATCCTGTACCGCGGCCAGACGCTGAAGATTAGACGGCCGCACGACTATCACCCGGTGGCCTCGGTCAGCTCATCAGAGCCGGCATCCGCCACCCAGGTCAACAGCGTGCCCATTTCGCCGGTGGTGCCCGACTCGCCACACAAGATCTACGTGGGCGGCTTGCCCACCTGCCTGAACGAGGAGCAGGTGAAGGAGCTGCTGGTCACCTTCGGCAAGCTGCGCGGCTTCAACCTGGTGAAGGAGGCCGTCACGGGCCAGAGCAAGGGGTTCGCCTTCTGCGAGTACGTTGATCCGTGCATCACCGAGCAGGCCATAGCTGGCCTCAACGGCATGCAGCTGGGCGATCGCAAGCTCATCGTGCAGCGCTCCATAGCCGGCGTGCGCAATCTGGTGGCCCATCAGCTGCCCGTGCTCCAGGTGCCCGGCTTTCCAGTCGACGTCTCCACGGGCAAGGCCACCGAGGTGCTCTGCCTGCTCAACATGGTGCTGCCCAGCGAGCTGACGGACGACGACGAGTACGAAGACATTCGCACGGACATCAAGCAGGAGTGCGCCAAGTACGGCAAGGTGAAGAGCCTGAAGATTCCACGTTCCGGCGACGACTCCAACCAAGGCGGCGTCGGCAAGGTTTTCGTGCGTTTCGAGACCATCGACGACTGCAAGAAGGCCCTCAATGCCTTGAGTGGGCGCAAGTTCAGCGGACGCATTGTCATGACTTCATTCTATGATCTAGAGAAATACAAACGCAAAGATTTTCAATAATAATTAAAAATAATATAGCCGTGAGGTGAACTATACAAATCTTTCCTTTTACTGATTGTCTGGCTTCACTTGAGCACAGTGGTGGAATTTATTTTGTAAACTTAACTGAAGAGCTTAGATTTCATGAGTATTATTTGCAGCTTGAAGAAAGAAAAAAGTTTGGGTATAGCTTGTATGGCAACGACTCTCACTCTCTATCTCTCATTCTCTCTCGCTCTCTTAGTCAATTTATATGGAGTACTACGAGGTAGAGTATTGATTAACAGCTTGAAAAAAGAAAACTGTATAAGTAAAACTAGTCTGTCTCTCTCTCATTCTCTATTTTTCTCTCTCTGTCTCCGTCTCTCTCTATCTCTCTGTTAGTCTTTAATAGAGTAATAGAGTATTGAAGAAAGGAAAAGATTTTTATGTTAATATACAGCCACTCCCAATACCGCTGTCTCCCCCTCTTTATCTCTCTCTGTCCATATTATGCTCTCCCTCTCTCTGTTTTTCTTTTTCTCTCTCCTCTATTTCGCTCACCGTCATTCATCCCTCTCATTTCCTTCTCTCTCTCTTACTGCTCTCTTCCCACTCTCTGTCTCTCCTCTCACTGCCATCTTTCCTTGCTCTCCCTTTCTCTCCATTCGTTTTTACACACCTTTGTATGGTCTAGCGGACAGTTTGTGAAGTAATCGATATTTATCGATTTCTTAACAAGTGCATTAATCGCGGCATGTGAAATAAATGATCTTTGAACTAGAATCATGAGCTCATTTAATACCCTTAAGGTCTCTGCTGCTGTTGCCATAACAATCGACAAAAGCTCTTTAGCCTTTTGCTTGGGTGGGCAGGACAGGCCACGCCCTCCGTTGCCTCCGTTGATTCAATATAGACAGGAGGCAATCCTGAAAGCCACAAAAGCCGCTCAGAAGCTTAATTAAAAAATTTCCAGCGCAGCTACCTTATCGCTCACATTTCTCACATATTCACACCTATGTGAGCCCACAGCCAACCAGGCTAACCGGCATGCCTGCGCAAGCTGTGAAATACCTTTCAAGTTGAAGGCATTCTGGCCCAGACGCAGCTCATTACGGCTAAAACAGGGCATTGTTAATGCTTTTTCAATATCCGTACCCAAAAAAAAAAAAAGAAACAACTGACGAGCGTGGCCATTGGGGAGCGGAGCTTATCGCACGGTTGCATTTTCTCAGGTAACACTGTACCTGCGACGGTGCTGGGCAGCAGCTTATCTTTATTTTGGTCATTTGCCCGACAGCCGATCATCAATAATGAAATGCAACTGCCGTTGGCAGAGCTTGCATCGCGCTCGCTTTATCAGAGCCGAGAGACGACTTCAACTAAACGCTTTATCGCAAAGTCTCGTCAAGAGATACGCTTCAATGTGGACTTGAGGCTGCTCCGGCTGCGATTCCCGCGGACACAAATTAATTCAACGCCTTGGATTTGTCATTCGATAGAGAGAGAGGGAGAGCAACACGTTTTGATAAAAGCGCTGCCGCCAGCAGCGAGGGATTTCGGTTGGACTCCTCGCTAGAAATCAATGCCCCATATGGGTAATTAATAAACGCCCATAAAGATGCGGATACAATAAAAATTCCAAGCTTGCAAAGAGACAGACAGAGAGAAAGAGAAAGAGAGAAAGACTCTGCTCGGCTTTGTTTTGTCTGAAGAAAAAGGGTTTCTTTCATCGTAGTTCTTTTTATGATCTGCAGCTGGGATGTCGGGATTAACTGGATTGGTGTGAGCGTCTCTCACTCACTCTCCCCAGCCTCAACCCCAACCCTAACCCAAGCCCACGGCTGACCATTTGGTGTCTGAGGTTAGGGCCCTTTTGTCGATTGGATTTGAAACTCGAACCCGTTCGGATGTTAGGTAATCGACGCGATAAGAGAATTAAGAAATCAAGCCCATGACTCTCCCGATAGTTGAGTGAACTTCTAGGCATCTTTAATTGCATTCTCATCGTTTATTGCTTTGGGCGGGCGAGAATTTGAATATGATGTAGTAGATAATTATGGGCCACAGGATGAACTTGCTGTCGAGGGCGTAATCTTGATGATGGTCATTAAAGGCAGCTGCTACAGCGCTGCCTAAATGCAACCACTTTCCACTTTTCAAGTCGTTTTCGGCGATCTACAGACTTAATTAGCTTTTGTTCAGCTCACTTGAATATTTTGATAGGTATATGGAACGGGATTCTAACTGCTTGTTGATGATACTCAAAAAGCACCCACAATACGATATTTATTTGAATAGCCCCCGATATGCATCTGGCCGGGCTTAATAAACCCATTGGGCAAATCACACGAATTTGTAGCGCTCTAATGATCAACAAACTAAGATCTGATGCTCAGATATCTGATCAATTTGTAAGGTCTTTAATGAAGACATATTTGACAGAACGAAACAAGATTCGAAACGATTCCCGGAATCCGGACCGAGCTTTGGCATTCGTCCATCTATATTTATTTTTATTACTTATTTATTCTCATTTTCCATCACTGCGAATGCTGCTTGTGATCTTTTCAGCCCTTCTCGGAGAGGTTTGCCATTGATTAGAGCAAATAAGAAAAAAATGAAAAAATATTCAATTAAACGAAACCTGTTGCCCGCTTGCTGTAAATTCACAAAAGCTAAAATCCAATTCAATTTGCATTTCCTGTTGAATACTCCCCTCAGCCTCGTAAACCAAATCAAATAAACAAAATATATATATATATATATACATACATATATATAAATAAAATTAAAAAAGAGGCAGAACAACAAAAATGTTTTGTAATTTCCTTTTCTTCTGTCTGGGACTCTGAACAAAGGCGCAAACAAATTACACACAAATACTCGCAATTTCGGCCGGAGGATGGAGGCGTGGCAATGCCAAGTGACGTCTGTCCTGTCTCCTGACTCGCTGCGTTAATGGCAGGCGCAATTAATTCGAGCAAATCGTCTGTGAACCCTTTTTATGACTCCCCCCCCCCATGCAAAGGCAGTGGAGGAGGGGGAGGGGGCGGGACAGGCGTAGCTCTTGCTCAAATAAAAATTCATTAAACGGCGAGACCCGCAGCTCTCGGTGTGTTAGCTTTGAACCGAACTGCGCAAATAATAAACGCGAAATAGGCGCACAAAAATCCATATAAAAATTTTCTTTAAATGCCAGCCAAATTGATGCGCAATTCGTGAATGAATACACTGCGCGAAATAGTGGGTGATGGCTGAAGAATTTGCAAATTTAATTACCCAAAACTATGCAAATATTTTTATAATAAAGTTGCTGTCATAAATTAATCTGTGGAGTTTACTTGAAATCACTTAACAAAAATATCTTCGGCAGTTTTTTCCCAGAATTTTCCATCAAACTCTTCGATTTCCTGCTGCTACATATATTTATATGTATATCTACAAATAAATCACATTGTCTTTAACAAAGATTTGTAAAAAGTTTTCCTTTGTTATTCGGTAAAAGGTTACGCGAGTTCGGCCGAAAAACGTATAAAAGTGGAAAATGTAAATGCTTAACTGAATGAATTTTCCGGGGCAGAAATACCCGAGAGCATGGCGCGTTTTAATGAGGACCATAAAATCGAAGCGCCGGCCACTGGCGAGGCAGGGCGAGGCGGCCTGCAGAAGGGAAACGTGGGAAGGGAGGGCCAGAAGAAGTGTAACAGGTGCGATAACAACAAACACACCAATGAACGTCTGTCTGGCCAGCAGCCAAGACAATGAAGTTATAATGAAGATTATGTGTAAAACAAAGTGCGGCCCGCTTAGGTAGTCCAAAGGTAGCCAAAGGACATTCAGGGAAAGGCTACGCTGAAAGCGCGTTCTAAAGCTGGCCCATCGACTCATTCGTGTTGTTTGCTTTGATATTTTACCGACGCGCCGAATACCCTTTATGGCAGCATCGAGAGAGAGAGAAAGAGAGAGATATGAATGTAATGCGAGCAGGAGTGGGCAGGGGCGTGCACCAGGCTGTGCATAATATTATCTCAGAGAGAGAGAGAGAGAGAGAGAGGGAAGGAAAAACACAATACGAAAACAATTTAAGCGGATTTGATGAATTCAAATGGAATGCGAGAAAAATGGCTGATTGTTGAAACTAGCGTGAAACATGACATCAATGTAAAAACAACTTGAAATGCTCTTAGTGAAGTGGGAGATACAGAGAGAGACAGAGAGGGAGGAAGAGATTCAAAATCTCTGCCTATTTGGCGTGCTTCCTTTGGAGTACTTGTCACTGCCACGATGACTGACAAGTTTATCCTTTCTGGCAGCTGCATCTTTTCATTATGGCACAGCTACCCAGGCCAGGCCCAGGCCAGGCCAGGCCACTTGCTGGCTATCTACAGGTCAATGACCTCCGGCTAACAGAGCCAGTGCAAGTTTTGTGCCGTGTAACGCGCATTGTTGGCCGCTGCCGCTGCCGCTGCCGCTGCCGCTGCCGCTGCCGCTGCTGTTGCTGCTGCTGTTGAATGCTTCATATCCATCATAGAGCTCATAGTCATGCCCATGGTCTATGCACTTTTGCCTATTCATTTGTCCTGGCGTTTCGTCTGTGAGCTGGCCCCGCCTCCTGCCCGAGCCCACCTATTCCAGATCTTCAACTTTTGATACCCATCTGAATTTGCATTATTTTCTTTCGCTCTTCATTTCTGCTGCTGTTGCCGCTGTTTACTGTCATTCTGATTTTAATCTTTGCTACGCTGCCTCCTGCCTGTTGCCTCCTGCTTGCTGCCAGCTACCTGCTGGCCTCTGATTGCTCCCCTCCTTCTGCTGTTGCTCTGCTCCTGCATTGCTTTATTTAGTTTTTTAATTTTTTTCCTCCACTCAGCTGCCCTGCCCATTTGTTGTTGTTGTTCTTGTTGTTGTTGTTCCTGTTGTTGTTGTTCTTGTTGTTGTTGCCGCGTGCCCTGGTGAACAGGTTCCATTTCTTTAGGTTGCCAGTGCACTCGCCTTCTTCTTCTCCTTCCCGCTTGTTGTTGTTGCTGCTGCTGTTGTTGGCC